CTTTAAACACTCAGCATCCTCTGTAACATCTCAATCCATAAAGTGACATTTCACTGACGATCTACCTCAGCAGTTTGTACTTTGTCCTCACCTAGGTGTAACTCATTAGCGCATGCAGCCTTGAGCTCATTAGTTGCTTCAGTTTGGATTTATTTTGCTGTGTTTGGAATCATATTGACTCATTTTGAGGATGAAAAACTTGGAAGCTATAATTTTAGCCCCTGAGACCCAAATCCTTTGTTTGATATTTATTCATAAGCTTTAATTAAGGAAGCAAAAGTTTTGTTTGCTTTCACTTGATGCATAATTCTACATTTACTGTAAAATTCTTTAACTATACAGGGTGACTTCAAATTTTATAATCTTCTATCTTTGTTACAATCTTATGTTTGCTTATTATTTAAATCATTTGTTGCTCTAACCAACCAACACAATCATGAGAATAAAATAAAAAGTGCAATAGAAAAGGCAATCATATAGCAAGAGAAGCTATAGTCATGTTTATTTGTTCCTGTGTCCTCCTCATTTATTTCCAGGTTCACTGCAAGAAACTGGAAGTGACTGAGACAGGGCAGAGGAGATAGACAAATAGAAAAACTGATAAATGAGAGCAGGATGGAAAAAGAAAAAAATAGTTCAGAAAACGAGAGGGTGAAAGAGCTGGAAGAGGGATGAAGAAGGAAAAAGAAGAGAGATACAGTATTGACCTCAAATCCTTCCCCACCATCTTCTTGAATAATGTTGCTATAAACCTGTCAGAAAATACAAAACACTTTCCCAATCAGCCTTTGTGGCAGTGAGAGAAATTGGCCACATCTGGGCTCCTAACCCCTGAAACATATCGACCACTCTCAGTCCTCCCTGCACAATAACGTTCTCCTTTAGCAGGAGTGGAGGATGTAGTTTCTGTGAAAAGGAGCTGGGACAACCTGTGCAGAGCCTCAAACGGGAACTCCTCGAGGCCCAGGCAGGTAGATCATTGAGCAGAGGAGATGGAGGAATCAGAGTGGGACAGATGGTCTGGAAAGAGCTGATAGCTATAGCTAACCCACAGGATTTATTTGATCAAATAAAAAAAAGCTCCAAAATAGATTTTATGCACTTTATGCCAAAGACCAGTTGTAGAAAACCACCATCTTTCCTCTACTGAAACCCTACTGCACAAGTGACTTTGAGAAGAGGAGGAGGAGGATATGGAGGACAGAAATAAGATATTGACAATTCCCTAGTGAAAAATGTAATTTCTAAGATTTACATCCCATCAAGGCTAATTCATGGATGAAGATCTCTGCAGTTGTAATTGATAATCCAAAATCGAGCTTTTTTTGACATGGTCATTAAATGAGAATTTCTGTATTGGGGCCGATATGAACAAAATGTCTCTTTATTAATCAAAAAATATATCACACCCAAACCCATTTGAGTGAATGCTGAGATTAGTTCTTTTATATTTATATACAATCTCAAGGACATGAAAACTGTGAGAACTGAACCATGTAACGAAAAGCCTTTCTCTGTTATGACAGTAACCTGCTCTGATTTTAAAGCTATTCATCACTGCTAACCTTAATATAATAGCTGGGAGTGTCAGACAAAAAATCAATTTTCTACATCTTAACTCGTAACAAATAGTTTGCACCCTACGTGTTCAAATGTCCTGCACATATTTCACACATTTAGCCAGCAATTAGTTAAGTGCAATGCACACTGAAGTACAGTTTTTTATAGAAAAATACTTTAAGTGTTTATGACACTATTATTTATCTGTGCTGAAAGTTGGTGTTACATCAGCCTCCTAATATTTGTGCAATTATTCTGCAAATAAATCATAATGCAGCCAGAATCACCAGATGGGGCAATGCATTATATGCTGTTAGCGGTGGCAGAGGGGTTGAACAGTCAGGCTGAGGGCAGTAAATTCTCCTGATACATTTTTCATCCTGCCTCTCCTGCGAACTGCCAGACTGCAGAAAGGAGTATTGACTAAAGAGAGAAAGGGTCTGATCTTGCTTATATTCCTCACAGATGTCTGTGATGTTTTTGAAGGCGGGTGAAAGTCTGAAGGGTCTGTAAATGACTGACACTGTCTGCCTATAATTCTTTCACTGAATCACTACAGCAACATAAATATTTATCATGCAGTCACTGCATCTGTCCTCTAGTTTTCCTTCCACCTAATTTCCCTCCCTTGCCCTTGGACACCGCTGGTCTGTCTGTCATGATGATGCCTCCCTTCCATAACAGAGGCCGGCTGCCAGCACACAAGAACATGGACTTCACCATGAGGAAAATGTTCCACTCTTTAGAGCCAGGGACATTATGGTTGATGTTCTGCACAGTAAACGGTACCAAAACCCAAGTGAGTATGAAGTCATATATTTCTGTGTCTAACAGATGCAGCACCACAGAGAAAAATCTATGGCCACAAATCAACAAACTGTCATAATCTGACCAGACAAATAGCAGGGGGTCGTCTGTGAGCCCTCCAGAGGTTGTTGTGTGATGATGACAAATAATCTCATCAGAACCGTGGAAGCAATCAATTTAGAAGTTAGAACACTTCATTTCATCTCTCTTTTCTTATTGCATACTACGATTTAAAGGATTAGCATCTCCAGAATTTGATATGTAAAACCTGATGAAGAGGAGGACTCAGAGCACTGATCTAAACTGTCTAATTGAACTAGCGGAATAGTACAATTCAGCATGTTTGTGTGGAAACCCAGTGAAATGTATGATTATTCCACTTGTACTGTTTTCTTGATGTAGCCCATTAACAAGTGCAGTTATCATGGTGTGAATTATAATCACATCACTTTTACAATATAAAATGCCTGCAGGAGAAAATTTTTTTTTATTACTAGCTGCCCCATGAAACATGCAAAGTCCATGTACTGGGCACACATGTACCACATGTGCAGAAAAATGACAAATTGGCATTTGCACATTTGCATTGTTACTTAATCTCAAATACAGAAGAGTGATGCAAGCTGGTTAATATCATAGTGTTAACCTGTTTACCTGTCAAACAAAAATTAATGTATTCATAAAGAGTGGAAGCGTCCTGGTACATGACCTGATGGTAACTATAATGCCCCTGGTTCAAATCCGGCTGGAGACTCTTGTTGCATTTCACCTTTATCTTCTATTTATGTTTCCACTCACTCACAAATACCAAAGACGGGATTACAAAGGGAATCTGAGAAAGGTGTTAAATTTATAGACGCATCGCTGCAACTCTCAGATTTGAATTCCAGGTTTGTTCTGTGTACACGTACGTGTGTGTGTGTGTGTGTGTGTGTGTGTGTGTGTGTGTGTGTGTGTGTGTGTGTGCCTACATGTCTCGGATATGTCCGATCAAATAAGCAAATCTCATTCAGGGGTTGAACACAGGTGAGTGAGGAGGTTATACACTGTAAATTGTTGAGAACTAATTATCATCCGAGCATAAAAACAAAATTGGAGGTAAAAATTGTGCTGCTTGCATAAGACTTCCTGTGCACACTGCTGCTCCACAAGTCTACTTTGTGATCTCCTTCATTCCTTTAAAACCTTGAGACCTGGATAGCCTCCAGGCAGAGGAGCTTCACTCACTGCTGATGAGAAGGTATGACAAATTCTTGACTTCAATTTTATCTTTCTATCTTCAGTCAGTTCGCATCTTCGCCAGAAACGGAGACCATGGCTCCTCATTCCCTTCAGCTGTGCCAAACAGTTGTCTGTATAGTGCCATCAGATCACTATCAGTTTAGCGGTAGGAGGGAGAGAGACAGTGGCCCCATCTGTTCACATGGTGGTGCTGAACACATGGCTTCCTCCTGTTTCTTTATCAGGCCTGGTGGATGTGTTAGGATAAAATGTCTAGATTCTTTCCCTTTATAGCCTTACAGTTCAGAACATCTCAAAGAAATTTTCTGCCATATGCAGAATCTGTTGAAAGTTGACACTCAAATGTAGTGAGGTGTGTGTGTGTGTGTGTGTGTGTGCCTGTGCTTATGAGTGGTTTAAGATTTACTTAAGTTACACAGAGGAAGCTTTCAGAGAAAAACACACTCTCAAACATGTACTCTGTCAAGACTTATCTTCACCCTCCAGAGGCAGCAAGACAAAGCTCACACATTTTAAAGTCTCCAGTGGTAAATGACGCGTTTGAGGAATTGCAAATGCCAGAGAACACACACACACACACACACACACACACACACACACACACACACACACACACACTGACAGTTAATTTTTATAACCTTTTGTGATAAGACTTACCAAGCAAACATTCAACCTGAGACAGACCCTGTCACTAGTGCCCCCACCACCCTCTCAATCCAGCAATGTGCTGCCTGTCTATCTCCATCAGCCCACACACGAACAGCAAACACTGATCCAGAATATGTAATAATGTTCCTCTTGCTCCTGAATGAAGCCATTTTTTGTGGCGTTATTTCACTATATGTTCTATAAAGAATCAGACAGCACAGCTCATATTAAAACTCTTACAATCAACATTTATAGATTAACATGTGGTTTTTGGTTTATGGCCCAGAATGTCACTGTTTTTCATTCACAGCTTTCATTACTGTCGTTTCCAGATGCAGCTGTTTTCAGTGATGGGCAGGTGACTAACAGTAGCATATTAGAGCTTTTTTTAAAACAGCAGACAATGTTAGAAACCCAGCTGGTGAACAGAGCGTTGAGCAGCCAAAGAGTCAGATTAATCCTTTGTCTTTGGTCCACACCAAATTATGAGCTGAAAGGAGACTAAATATTGGACTTACATTCATCGGGTCATCAGAAACACAGCTCCACATGGACGTTAACGTTGCTGTGTATCTGCTGGATTTGTGAATAGGTGACTGTTTGTTTGCCACAACAATTTAAAAAGTGATAAAATGTCAATGTTCTACTTCCAGCTTGTGTCTGCTGCTTTATACAAAGTTGTACACGATAGTTTAGTTTATTGCTAATAAGGGACAACATCATAGTGAGTCTTTAGCACTGACCTGAACCTCGATGCCATATCCCAGGTAGACGGTAACCAAGTAGTTGCACTCCACTCCGGAGTCAAGTTGCTGCTGGATCTCGATGTTACCCTCAGGGTCAGTGAAATTCAGACCGCATGACTCTGTGGGAGACAGTAAGAAGACAAGTGATTCCCTTTTCCCCAGATCAGCGCACGGCGCACCTGTGTCCGTGGCCTTCTGACCCCCTAACTATCTCTGCAGATTCCCTCTCCGACACTGATGATCAGGGCCTTCAGCCCTCTGTGGGCAGTGGAAAGGACGGGCAGGACACATCAGGGCAAAATCAGATTGTTTTTGACACATGAGCGACTCTGTTATCCCTGCTGGAGAGATGACTGGCTGTGTGCAGCATGTGAAATGAACAGCAGTGATGCTGATGACCCGATGCTTAATTGTCTTGTCCTCTGTAACGGATGTGTTAAATCTTAGGGGGAAGATACTCTGCATTTTGAATTTACAATGGGAGAGAGTTATTCTATTGCTGCTGCTCTTTATTTCAAAGTCACTTTCCAACTTGTGCGTCTTTGAAAGTCAGAGAACATGAGCACGCCTACCTGATGTTTGTGTGATGGTGATGGTGGTAGTCGTGATGACGGTCGTGGACATTGTGGTGGCGCCCTCTGCCCGGGACACTTCAGTTAGGGTGGGGAGTGGCTGATCAGGGTTGCTTTTGTATTTTAGTGGTGCTTCACTTTTCTCCATCCTCACTGAGAAGGGTGCAAGGGTGGCGCCTACCAGAAAAGGACTCTGACTTCTCTGCGATGATGAGGAAGCCGCTGGGTTGTTCTCACTTCCAAAACCTCTATTATTTGGAGTCACTTGGGTGGTAAGGGTGTCTGTTGTTGGCTCTACCTTGTCTGCCCCCCCGGTCTTCTCCTTAGAGGACTTCTTTTGAGGGAGAGACATGGATGGCCCTGGTGTTGTGGGAGAAAATGTGGTCAGTGGAGAGGTGGCAGCCAGAGTGGCAGTAGTGGCAATGTCTGAGAAGGCTGGGGCATCCTCATGGGGCACCAGCTGGGTGGCAGGGTCTCCTGCGTCCGAGGCAGACACGGAGCCTGGCATGGTGGGAAATGCAGCCACAGAGCCATCCCTCCTAAAAAAGTGCTGGTCCCCCTGGAAGTCCCTTGTAAGTAGGTGCTCGTGAAGCAGCAGGCCCTTGAGGACAGGCCGGTGGTTGGGGATGTTCATTGGTGAGACAGTGGTAACCAAGTAGACTTCGCTCTCTGTGTCCTGCGTTGGTGAGTGTATGAAGAAGTCCCTCTCTGAGTCCAGCGTTCTCTTACTGATGCCATTGCTTTCCTTCAGACCTGGGAGAAGAGGAATGAAGACAATACAGTTGTGTTAGGCAAAAGATTAAAGTTCAGTGAACTACAAAGGCAACACACCAACTCTGCCAGCCTGTAATCCACTAAAATTATACCTAATGAGCTGTCCTCTTGTATAAGTCTTCCACACGTTTTGTTGCTATTTTAATCGGTTCGTTATGTACGTACTGTGTGTGTGTGTGTGTGTGTGTGTGTTTGTGCGCAAGCTTCTGCGTGTGTGTGTGGCAGTGTGGGGTACAGACGGTGGCAGAGTATAATCCTTTATACGTCTATAATAGAAGCTTTAATTATAGCTGGTGACTGAATGCACAGTATGAAGGTCACTACAAATAACATACAGTATACATGGTATTACATGATAGAAGTGTCCTATGTATATAGTTTATTTTAAAGTGCCTCTTCAGTGTTAAAATCAGAATCTTTCCGCTCAGTACTTGACATGCTATACTGTACATTTCACTGAACTACCAAGAAGGATATTATTTTAGGGGCCCTGCAGATTACTACTGACAGTGGTGAGGAGCAGCTTGCAAAAAGCCGCTTTATTATCAGAGATGAATTCCACAATCACTCCCCTGCAGGCAGTGAAATCTCAGAGCCCAGAAACCCTGAGAAATAGTCTAGTTACTTGTGCAATAAAAAGGTTTAAAAGCATTTTATTCTAAGGCCTCATTCTATGGGCTAGTATCCCCATTCCCTCTATTTTTCAAACTCACCAAGACACACACACCTTTCAAACACAGTGCAGGGCAGGCATTGTTAAAAGTTCCACCAGAGGAAAAGAACTCGACCCGTGAATACTCAGTAAAACACAAAAAAAAAAAATCAAAATGAATGGATGAACCTGTGGATCGAAACTGCAAAAAACCCACATAACCAGATATAGAAAATGCATTTGTATAATGACACATAAACAAATGAACAACGGAAACAAAAATAGTTTTCCTATAAGGATAGACCAGAAATGCGGATGCAGTGCAAAGGGAAGTCTGCACTCTTACTGAATATTATAATGTGATATATTATTGCAAGTCACTGAAGACACTTGCAGACACATGGAACTTGTACATGACACTTGACAGTAATAGCCAAAACAACAGATGCTCTCTGTTGTGACTTTGGCATCTTGACAGTGACACTGCTAATCCATTCAAAAGACAGACTGAGCTCCACTTGTAATGAAACAGCCATATAAACACAGTGAGAGTTTATTAATGAAATGATCGGCCTCCTCAGGCAGATGCATACATTTAATATTTGATTTAAACTATAACTTTCAAAAATAATAAAGTAAAATCACCGGTGTGAAATAAGCAACAAAAACCTGGTTGTTATTACAGGATTGACGCCTGTCTTTGTCACATCCAGCAGTAAAACCTCCTCCTCCTCCTCCTCTTCCTCCTCCTCCACCTTTTCCCCTTCATTGAGGCAGTGAATATTTGCTTCAGGCAAGTAATAAAAAATGGCTATGGAGGTTTCCTCACCTATAGAAAGTGACTATCCAAATATAAATACACAGCACAGCTCAATATAAAACTCACTTTTATGTCATTTTAATCATCACATCTTTTTCAACTCAGGAAGGACAGTCAGGCCAATCACTTCATGCAGAGCAAGTGTGTTATGTAGCCAAACGACTGCTCTGCGAGTCCAAGACGAGCGTATTTACCCCATTATCTGCTACATTTCCCTCACATCAGTTGTTTGGGGCAAAGCCGATGAATTGATGGTTCTTACCACTGAAAATCCTTAAATACTCCAGACAGTGTAAACATCAGCGGAGATAAACTTCCCTGCATGTCCTTAGTGGCTTTGAGGGGACAGTTATCCTGATATGATCAAATGTTGTCCAGCTGGCTGCTCGTCTCACACACACACACACACACACACACACACACACACACACACACACACACACACACACACACACACACACACACACAGACAACAAGCAGTTTTGCCTCATTTATCTATGTGTGAAGGGATTTTGTGAGGTTTTTGAAATTCTGGTGCTGACTTGCTGTTTTAAGGTGTGTGTGTGTGTGTGTGTGTGTGTGTGTGTGTGTGTGTGTGTGTGTGTTAGCAGGATTTCTATGTTGTTAATATAGAGGTGAAAATGCAGTGTATTTTTCTGGGTAATGCTGGACAAAATAATGAAACATCTATGGCACGGCTGACTGTGAATTCTTGCTTTCATGCCAGCATCAGTCCAATCTCCATGTCTCTCTTTTTGCATCTAATTTTCAGTATTTAATTGTTTCACCCTCTGTGCATCTCTGCCCAGTGCAGCTGGATACTGCATGGCTAATTTGCAGCTTAAAGCTGGAAATATTAACATAAAATAACTGTGTTTTGAAGTATGGCATCAATAAGAAATATTGAAAACACTGAGGGACTTCACATGATATTCTTATCTGCCTCCGTACATACATCGATCGAACAAGACGTCCGAAGGTGTCCTGTGGTATCAGGCACCAAGACATTAGCATCCTTCATGTCCTGTAAAATGTGAAGTCGGACCTCTGTGGATGAGACTCATTTTTCCAGCACATCTCACAGACGCTCTGTCAGACTGATCTGGAGTCAGCACCTTGAACTCTTTGTCATGTCCCTAAAACCAGTCCTGAACTTTTGTTGCAGTGTGGCATGTTGCATTATCCTGTTAAAAGAGGCCACTGTGATCAGGGAATACTGTTGCCATGAAGGTGGGTGTGTTTAGGTGGGTGGTGCCATCTCAGTTAAACGGAAACACCTGGCTGTCCTGGTTTGATATGATGACGAATCAGTGACCCCAGTTTGCCCAGGACCCTGTTGCTGGTCCATCCTTCCTTGGCCCACTACTGACCACTGCAGACTGGGACATGCTCTGACCCAGTCACAGCCATCACAATTTGACCCTATAGTTGAAGTCGCTCAGAATTTTCCTTTTTCTAACACATCAACTTGAAGAAGTGATTGTTCTCACGCTGCCTAATACATCCCACCCCTTGACAGGTGCCATTGTAACAAGATAATCAATGTTATTCACTTCACCTGTCAGTGGTTTTAATGTTGTGGCTGATGGGTTTATGTCTACATGAAACAATGCCGTGTGCTGCGACACCTTAATTAACTTGCATTCTGGGCGACAGTCTGTCTTAATGAGGCAGAGACACTGCCAGCACACTTTTCATGCTTTTAGATGAAAGCACGCTGTTGACACAGGTAATAAAATGAGTGAGATATTATCATGGAGAGTGTTTCTATTAGCTACAGCGCTCCAAGAGGAAGAGGGAGCCTCAGCTGGAGGTGGGAACAGAATCTAATAAGCTCTTTAGAGGTAGATGATATGATGTTTGCGTACATGTGAAAGGTCAGGAAAATACAGTGGCATGTCACAGCTGAAACATATCATCGCTGCTTTTCAAGGAAAACTTGTTGTTGTTTTTGTTGTTTGACATTTCCTTATAAATGTCTGCGCCTTGTAATTCCATATCCCAGAATATTCTCAGTGTCTGAATTGTATCGTACATCCTCTGCTTGACGGTTCATGATGAGGTTCATGACCGACTCCGGTTTAATCCCCATCACTGAATTATAAAGCTCGCACAGTCTACAATTGACTGGCTCATTTTGGCTCTATTGATTACAAGTGCAGTTGCTTTTCTTGCATATGAAATAGATGCTTAAATCTGCTCGCCAGGGGGCAAATGTTCAAACATTGGAAAAGTACAGCAGGAAGCTGATATTTAGGTTTTAAGTGAGAAAAGTGTCTGAATATAGGTGAAAATTGACTGTGCCACAGGAGAAGCCTCACTTTGCTCATAAAACTTTGAAAGCAATCACAAACCATTGTAATGTTTTGCTGATGCAGAGTGGTGTTAACAACATCCAGCATGCTAATAAAAGTTTGATCAGGCTATTCAAGAGGAAGAGTAAACAATTTTGTTACAAAGCCTCTCCCAGGCTGACATAATTGACACATGGTTTTACATTTTACTAGCAGCCGTGACAACACCACATTTCTTTCTTAGCGACAGAAGCAATTCAAAGACCTTTTTGATGTTCTAAGATGGAGGAGAAATATTTCCTTGTAGCCTTATTCTGTCACAACAAGAGCAGCCAAAGCTGCGCTATCAAGGCAAGCTAAGCATATTTGACGTGTCTCACTACCAGAGAGAATAAAGAGTGTAATCGGAGGTCTTCATAAATGATTTAAGCATATGGCTGCCCCCCTCTTCATAACTGGAAAGTATAGAGGAATCTTAAACATTAACATACTATCTGGTACACATGAAGAATTATCCTTTTGCCAAGATTATTGCCACTACTGCGTCCAGCTGGTCACTAACATCTGCCTCTTCCTACCTCGTCACCCTCTTTATCTTTATCTGTGGTGGTCAGCTTTCGACCATCCAGCTGCTGCCCTTCAGTCAGAATATCGAGTGAAAGAGGAGAGTGAGAATGGAGAACTGGGTTAAACCGGAGCTTCTCATACACAGATCGATGCAGGATCAATGTGTACAGGTTGGAGACCTCGCTGTGGTGATTACAGAGGAGCATGTACTGCTACCATACTGTTCTCAAGTCTGAACCTTAATTAAATGTTTACAGTTGAAGTTTCTGGGAGAAGAGAGGTGGAGCCAAAAACTGAATTTTAAATGTCATTTGTTGAGAATGAGTGTAGTATAAATCAATAAATACAAAACAGGAAACAACAAAGTAGCTACACAGCCTCTTTTTCTCATCAAGTTGTAGCCATCGGTTGCAAATATGACAAAATATCCTTCATGTGACAGTCACTGATTACTAATCTGTTCTGTAAATTATGTGAATTGTTTATGTCTCAGCTGCCAAAAATCTAAACAACTGAAATTGGGATTTGGTTGTGAAATGTCATATTTATAGCCTACTAACATTAACTCAATGAGGTCTTGAAAATGCTGCTGGCTGGGGAGATGCATAGCAGTCTTAAGACAAACTGGAACTGCAGAGCATGTCAA